ATCGCCCATTTATTCATAGCAATTTGTTAAGAAGCCTATGTTCTTCCACAGACGGTATCCGTGAAATGCTGTACAAAGCAGGGTTCACAGAGGAGGTCGGGATACATCACGTGTTTATTTCTGTTCACGACGCCGTGGTTCACGCGCGACATCCCAACGACGAAGTCGAAGAAGTCATGGTATGTTTTTATCCAATATGTAATTGGGATGTCGTTATGACGTTCAACATAACATGACATCATGATTTCACTAGGTGTAATAGGCGCGGTGATTTTACGTAGTTTTGGCTCGACTGGGATTTATCTCGATTGCCGTTGCTATCCAGAACCGAAGTTAATAAATTAATAAAATATAACGAAAAAAAGCTATATTCATAAATCAGATACTCAAAATTCTATTTGTCAAGTAATTATAATTCGATTCATCGTATCGTTCTTTATTCGTCTACACAATCAATTTTCGAGTTGTGTTGCCATTGGCGGCTTGATTGGTAATGCTGTGTTTTCGGTTTCCTTAGAGCATCGACACCGAGTTATCTTCACCCCCAGTGAGTGCTAACCCAAGTATCATTATACCAACCTTACCACCGTGTCCAGAGGAGAGTAACTCTTCACAGGTAAAACATTGACAAATAGATCGATTAATCATCAATTCTAATTACAATTTTGATACAAATATTATGTAGAAATGATAGATTGTATGACATAGCATGATGAGTATTCTTTTCCTAATGTAAATTTTTACTCTTCCCGCGATGAGTTATCGAGTTTTTATTATTACGTTGCAGCAATGAATGTGACGTCATAAATACGTGACGTCATAAATGCAATTATTTCAAATCAAATATGATCTATAATGTAAAATTAGAAGTCATTATAGATCATTACCATTCATAAATAAATGATTCGATCAATCTTTCAGTTACTTAATCAATCAGACAACCTACCATTTAGTTTTTAAGTAGTGTTTAAAAAACGAGCAGGAGTGCTTTATCTGGAGATATAGACACGAGGCCAAAGGCCGAGTGTCTATATCCCCGATAAAGCACGACTGCGAGTTTTTTATACTACTTCTAGAACTCCAACATCCAGAAATTGTTATCATTTTAGAAAAAAGCTAAAAAATGCGAAAACAGAGATTATGCATGTTAAACTTCTACTGAGCATGTGCATTTGTCACAAATGAAAGAATTTTGATCCCACACGTAAGAACGGCTAGTCTATGCTATACTGCATATCTGCACATTGATTCAAACTGATTTAAAACCTAGCAAAGGTCTATGATGCGACATTAAAACTGAGACCTTTGCTAGTGTTGGGTGTTGCGATAAAGCGCTGATGACCTTCAACATCAGTTCTTTATATCTGATATAGAACTGATTGTTGATTAATAAAACATCAGTTCTATATCTCTGATATAGAACTGATTAATAAAACATCAGTGCTTGATCGGGATATAAAGGTCCATCATGTGACCCAATATTTGGATTCTGATTGGACTAATAGCTCATGAATTATTAATGAGTTCTAGAAATCAATCAATCAATCAAATCGTTCATATATTCAATTGATCAATGAATTGATTGCAAAATAGCCAATCAGTACTGACTTTCCTTGGCTGTCAAATCAATAAATCGATTAATCTATCAATCAATCAACTCATCAAGTCATCACTCGATAAATCAATCGGTCAATTTTGACTTAATATGTGGTGTGCGTTATGACGTCAAACTGTACAACTACCAGAATGGTAYGACAACTTTTTTACTAATCCCCATAGAGAATATCTAGAGTAAGAATGAAAATATTTAGAGTAATGGCGCTCAGCTTACCTGCAGTAAGCTCATTCTGAACAATTTTCTTGCAGGATGACATAACACACTTGTAGTCGGCTTGGTTGGCCATTTGTACGGTGTTTGCCGGAAGAAGTTTGATGTGGACATAACCGAATTTTTATAAATATAATTGAATATAAAGATACAAGAATGCTCATAAAAAAGACAAAATTATATTCTATTTTTAAAATACAATTTTGATACAAATATCTCATAATTTGGATTTTATGAATATGTAGAAATGATAGATTATATGGCACTGGATGAAGTGTATTATTTTCCATAATGTAAATGTTTACTCTTCCCGCGATTCAGACGTCATCAATTCAGTCTTCGACGTCATCAATGTAACCATGACGTCATTAATGTAACCATTAAAATGTGTGACGTCATAAATTCATCATTTGAATTAAATATGACGTCATTAATTGAATTTGATGATGTCACAAAAGTGAAATTAGAAGCCATTACAGATCATTACGGCTCGAGCGCGTGTGCTGACAGCAGGCGAACAAGATGTACCCTGCAGGCAAGCCTGCGCATGATAGCAGCGCCACCGTAAAGAAGGTCGTYGGTGGTATTGTGATGGTAGTTGTTTGTGTTGCTGTTGCTGCTTGTGTTATTTACGCTATCAAAAAGATCGCAGAATCAGACACGCCTCCTACAAAGGAGCCAMCTTCAAGTAAGTGTTACATCCGATAGGGCAGGAGAAATTCGAAGGCTTGTGCATATATTCTAGTCACACTACCTGTCAGGCTTTTACATTTGTACGACGCTTTTGACGCAAGCATTATCGAGAAAAACTAAAACGAGTATCTTCACTCGGAACTTTGAAAGACAAGAAGAGTATTTGTTCTTTTTCCTCACTTTGTTCTTATGCTTCCGCTTATGCTAATGTCGAATTTTTATTTTATTCTTTATTTCTTTAAGATTTCCTGTTTTTTTTAATGGTTTTTATGGATGCTTATGACCTGTTCGTGTTTGAAAGCAATTTGATCGAAGACACGAAATAAATAGAACTAAATCTCATACGAGAATATCAACTTAAGAAAATGTTACGTTTGTTTTTGTTGTCATAATTTACTCTACAATCCAGTATCAGTAAATATGGTGGTCTATTCGAGTTMTTCTGGTGATCTGATTCTCATCAGCGTGTACATTTTTTCTTAGACATTCTATAGACGTTTTTGTTAATAAGGTCTCATATCTCTACAAACAAAGTTCGCTTTTACTCCGGGAACTTTAAACGGCGGCAGGGCAGGATCTCTTTACCTTCCAATATGGCTGTTCTTGCATCGATTTGTTTAATGTTTTTTCAGTGCGACAATTCACCTCTAACAAAGCAGTCGGTCGATATGGTCCAACAAAASTACATTACAATGACGCAAGACTTGTCGAGGAAGTCACGGTAAAAAAAGGAATCCAACASTGGACTGTTCCCGAAACTGGTCTWTGGATTCTCGAAGCAAGAGGAGCTTCTGGTGCTGATGGCTTACTTAAGGGTGGTACCAGRTTAGAAGGTGGATGGGGAGCTCAAGTTCGAGGGAAGTTCATCTTGAAGAAAGGGGAAGTCTTGAAGATTCTTATTGGTCAACAAGGGACACGTGACTTCCTACACCCCCAACGACCTGGAGGGGGTGGTGGTGGGACATTTGTAGTRAAGGGTGACAAACCTATACTAATCGCCGGTGGGGGAGGTGGTGGAGGGATCCCGCCACCTGCAGGTATGATAAATGTTTGATAGAAAAAGTGAAATCCTATTGGATATTTATATTGTAAAATACTCTACTATTTTGTAGCTTTTCAAAGCGAAGGRCAAGCAGGACGAAGTAAAGACATCAGAGYAAAAGGCGACCAGGCAAGCGGTGYCCGTGGAAGCGGMGGRAAACTATACGACACGAACGCTGAAAAACTAATCGATAAACCTTCGGGTGACCACAAAGTTATTGCCGGGGCTGGTGGCGGCTTTAAAGAARACGGTGTTGGCTTCTACGYGAAGTGGGGTGGAAAGAGCTTTCTCCACGGAGGAACAGGAGGAGAAGCAASCCCTAAGTACTCCAAGTATCCTCACGGCACAAGGGGCGAAGGAGGCTTTGGCGGTGGAGGGGCTGCAGGGCTCCTACCCGGCGCAGGTGGTGGGTATTCTGGTGGAGGGGTATCTGGTTGTTGGCTGGAATGTAGTAAGGGAAACGAAGCTGGTATAGCTGAGGGAGGGAGCTCTTTCAACAAGGGAACTGCTCCTCATCACAAAGACGACGTCAACAAAGGTGATGGTCGTGTCTATGCTACGTTTGTGACTGGAGATGAATCTATCTTAGCCTTGGTTGAAGACTGAGTTGTTTAACTGTCTTTTTATTCTCCACATCTTTGTAATTATGGCAATTGCACGGTTATCACTGGATATGTAATGTATTGACCTACAGTATTGTYGAGAGTGGTGTTGCCGGATTAAAAACCTACGCTTATAATTGACTTTGCTTTAGAGTGATATTAAGTCCAAATGTGCACTCATCCTTCCTCGCGTTTCGGTCATGGGGGGAGGGGGGACTGACTCTTTTCGCAGAGTACATGCAAAACAGTTAGGGTGGTTTTCACAACTCCGCCAGGACAAAATGAATGCACAAGTGTTACATAACCGATTTGTTTTCCTAAACAATTTTGACCAGTTTTCTCCCGTTACAAAAGGGGCAAAAAGTTGGAGTGGTGAAGGGTGTGGAAACCAACATCGCTTTAAGATAATAGAAAATAAATTCAGGATACCAGGATAAACTTGCACGTGAACGTTTATTGATATCGTTTTCCATACAATAATTTAACATGTATAGTTTTTCTAGAGTGTGTCAAGCTCAGACTTTCATTACGATTTCCCACAATTTAATTTCATAACATTAACTAGCCCCCTTTTTAAAAGTGTTAACCAGACCCTCAAGTTCATTAGCTAAACTGCATTAATCAAATAAMAGGGTTTTCCTTCCATAATCTTAATAACATCGTTCAGTTTCRCTCAGAAAATTTGAATTTGGATATGGATATACTTTTGCGCAACTTAGTGTCAATTTTTCATGACGTCGTTAATCTTTKCTCACCGAAAAGCAGGATTTGTTGTGTGCCTGAACGTATGCTGTTCGACTGAGAAATCTTTTTAAAGTCAAAACAATTTTATTTTGATTTAGAATAGAATTTCAATTGAATATACCCTTTGAAGACTACGAAATATTCCCACACCTTGTCTCGATGAAATATTTTGCTCTATCTAATTTCATAAATTAAATAATTTATGTATGAACTTAACTTTAATGACTGGATATACCCTGGATATTTTCCTTATCATTATAATTATAACTAATTATATATATTCTCGTGAACATTTCGTGACTGTACACTTTGATATTTGTGTCATTTTGTGCAGTAAGGAGACCTTACATGCTTCTTACACCACAATTTTCTCGGCAACTTTTCGTACAACGCCGTTGCAAGTTGTTCAGAAAATTATTGCTATTTGCAATTTTGCCCAGCAACTTGCAATATAATTTGGCCGAGGAAGATGGCGGACATTTGGAAATGAGACTAGTTGTTGAGAGAACATTACTAATAGTGTCGCCCTGTTGAATTGTGAATACATAGAATGATCAGATAACAAAGCAATCATAATACTTAAAAAACGCAGAATAGTACTAAAAACTTATTTTCCCCCTGACAAGTTAGTGCTTCACAATTTGGGACTCTTGTTATTATTGCTTCATAACGTCCAGCGTTATTATATGGCATTCTCAAAGCCTACATAATTTTTTTAATTTATGACCTCTTAATTATGGACCTCTGAGCATCCCATAATTTCTAGGTCAATAACAGAATTCAAGATGGCGGCTGTATAGGTTAATAGATCCATAATTCTGACATCATAATTTATCTCGATTTTGCTCGCGCCTTATTTTCTTAGACTTCTCTTTTATTTACAAGTCACTTATTGATATCAGTTGCTTTAGTATACCATTATCATTATCCATTAATTTTTGTGGAGTATCAAACTCAATGACTCGTCCATTCTCTAATACCAGTATCTTGTCATAGTCCATAATAGTGTTGAGTCGGTGTGCTATAGTGATGACTGTACATTCTCTAAACTTAGTTCTGATAGTGTTTTGAATAAGGCTATCGGTCTTGTAATCCACGTTCGCTGTAGCTTCGTCCATTACGATGATTTTGCTTTTTTGAAGAAGCGCGCGTGCAAGGCAAAGAAGCTGGCGTTCTCCCGCACTGAGGTTGACTCCTTGTTCCTTGAGTCTTTGGTTCAGTTGGTCTGGCATGCTTTCAATTGTGGACATCAGGCTTGCTCCATCTATTGCTTCCCAGACCTCTTTATCGCTGAACTGCTCAAAAGGGTCGAGATTAAAGCGAAGTGTACCAGTAAAAAGGACTGGATCTTGAGATATTACCGCCATGGACCGTCGTGAACACTGTAAGTTCAGTGTAGCAATGTCACATCCATCAATCATGATTCTCCCTTGAGGCTCTGGCATACGAAACAAAGCTGATACAATGGATGACTTCCCAGCACCAGTCCTCCCGGCGATTCCTATCTTCTCTTGGGGATTCACTTTGAAATTGACGTCATTCAAAACCATAGGTGCTCCTGGGTAATATGCTAGCGAGACATCTTGCAATTCTAACTGACCTGATTTGGGCCAATCAGAAGGAGGACGTGAGTCGTTTTCGTACCCAGACTCTGGTTCTATTTGTGTGTACGTCATCACTCGTTCTACTGAAGTCATGTAATTCTCAGTCTCTGAGCATTGACGGACGCCATATTGTGACGTGTCAACAGCTAACTGTAAGGCGTAGATGAGAGATAAGGCGAGGGATCCTGATAGAACGATAAAACAAAAAAACAGACCCTGTTAACTGCAATGCGTTTTTGATTCGTTTTGATATTGAATCTATAGTTTCGAGGACAGATAAGAGATCAGTACAATGGGCATCCACGTATTTATAAATTGCGCTCATTAGATAAGAAATAKGAAAAACTAACTTCTTCTACCAGTACATGACAAATTTCCTCGGGAAACGAAAAAAAGATAATCATCAAGGAAATTGGTTGTTTATATTGACGCTTTGAGGGTTGGAATCGAAAACATTAGCCCTGAGATTCTTACATACCTGCCCCAGAATCCACTGCAAGTGCAGCAAACACCACAACTGTTGTAAAACATACACAAAGGAAATCCAACCGCAGACCAAGCCAACGCAGGCTCGAGAGTAGGGTAAACCAAACACGCGTATGATYGTCTTGATATCTACAAGAAAATTAGTCCAATATATTATATAAACGATGAAGTTGAACAAACTTTGCATTCAGTGAATTTTAAACAACTTACGATCAAAGAGATCCATATACTTACTTGTAGAATGTCCTAGTGAAATGTTCCTCCATTGAATGGTTACGGATAGTGACCAAGCCTTCCAAGGTATCCGAGAAGTGAGAGAAAACTGGGCTCCTATTCATCGCCTCCAGTCTCCTCAGSTCACGCGACGTCTTCAGGTAATACTTGCCAATGAAGAAGAACAGAACGGCCATTGGCAAAGCGGCAACCACGACCCATGGGTTCAGAATAGACGGCAGTACAATAGCCCCGATGCAGAATAATATCAACTGCAAGGCATCGAGGAAGACGAGAGGAAGAAGATCGTCCATAACACCTACATCACGAGAAAATCTRTTCAGGATTCTTCCTGCAGGATTRGTATCGAAGAACAAAACTGGAGCTTTCATGACAGCGTTCGCCATTGCGTCGTGGAGGTTTTTGGATGAGTTGAGAGTGGCAAAGAAGAACATTACTGCCCGAGAAACCGCCATGAGAAASGCCATGATTACCAAGCCGCCATATATGTAAAGGTTAGTTAGGGAGTTCCTCTTTTCACGGGGTAAGCTCGACATGTGAAGAAGCCACCAGTCGGGAAGTATAAGACCAGCTAACAATAAGAAAAATCGATCATGAAACAGCGATTTATCACTGACTGGTATGTTCACAATACATGATAAACAGAATATTGCATTGACGCGCGGAGATACGAATTTATTTCAACACTGGAAGATAAAAARATCTTTATCACATGTAATATCCTCTATATCAATTAGACTAGCCCAGTAAGGTCAACAATACACAACAATGCCTGCCCAGCCTCAATTTTTTTTATTTTGTCTCAAACATCAAGAGGAGAGGGACCCGAAAATTAAAATATGTAGGAAGTGGAAGCTACCACTTCCACTAGCTAGCCTACTCTGTACGAGAAGTACAGTAATGCGCTACGCTTTGTTCCTACCTTGAGTAACAGCAAAATATAATCCAAGTAGAATCACTAACGAACACGGAATTCCATACACCAAGTACCTSCAGTATAGAACCATTGACACRGAACCCTCTACACGATCCTCGTCCGCAACCTCAAGACCGCTTTTCTTTTTATCCTTGTTATAGCTCACAATAGATTGGCACTGWACGTCCAGAGACCTTGTCAGCGGCGGACTATCATCGTATTTACTGGGKAGGAACTCAAACTTGTCTGCTTTGGAATCTTGAGTAAAATCTTCATAAGATCCTTCGTAAACTACRGTACCTTTGTCCATGACGACCACGTGGTCCGCWCCTTTGAGGTAYTGCAGTTGGTGRGTGACTAGAATCCTTGTCTTGTGTCTTAGTAGYCCACATATACAATCCATGAAGATGTGTCTGCCTACTTTAGCATCGACGGCACTTAGAGGGTCATCAAGTAAATAGACATCGCCATCAGCATAGAGMGCGCGTGCTAAACCTACACGAGCCCGCTGACCACCACTTAGGAGTACCCCTCGTTCTCCAATGACCGTCTGCTCGCTGTTTGGGAAACTATTGATATCGTTCTCCAAGTCACACGCTTTAATGACTGATTTGAATTTAGTATGATTGTACTTTTTTCCGAAGATGATGTTCTCTCGTACAGTACCAGAAAAGACCCAAGGCTGCTGTGGTACGTAGACGGTATTTCCAGTTACCAATATTTCCCCCTCTTTCACTGGTAATTCGCCGCGTATTGTGGATAACAGTGACGTTTTTCCACATCCCACCGGACCGGTCACCAACACTAGATCATTTTCCTTTACAGTCAAGTTAACATTAGCGATACAAGGCGAACAATCACCATCCCAGAGACAGGTGACGTTTTCCAGTGATACTTTGGTGGTTTTGTTGGTAGCATCAGCAKTGTTTAAGTTTGAATCTACCACAGCGTGCGTTGGTGAACCGATGACCATACTCTGAAGGATTTTCTCATCTTGTTTAGTTCTCTTTAGTTCTGGTAAYTCAAGAAAGTCTTCAATGCGTCCCAAAGCAGAGACAAAATCTCCGATGTAGTTGGCACCTTCTGCGATGTTCCATGAAACAGAGGAACGCAAGGTATTCAGAAACGCGAGTGTCATGAAGATATTGAATGTGTTTAGTTCTACACCCGTCACCATCATCACGACAAAAGATATCAATGCAGCGAARCTCTGCGCGGTGTACAGGAATGACTGGGATGTGGAGAGGACRATTCCTTTGAACTTAAGGTARYGAATTTCTTTGCTGAAAGAGAAGAGTTATGATAAATTCACATCTCAAATATAACACACTTGGAATTTGTAATGAGAGAGAGAAAAAGGAAATGAGAAGAATGGGCGGAATCGTATCACTATGCTTTCTTGAGAACAAAAAAAAAAAACGAAATTGTTCAGTATAAAGCTCCAAAACTCTTAATTCATCGAGTTAAGGGAAATCTAAATGCCTATATATGCTCCGCCAATCCCCAAGTGCATCCACCCAATCCCCTTCTGCCYAATACACCCTTATTAGTGTTCAGCATAAATATTGGCTGTTCAATATAATATTAGAAGCACCATGTCTAATCATTACCTTCTAATTTTAGTAAGCCTGTTCCAAAAAGGCTGTTCCCAAGCATACATCTTGACTGTTCTGGCCCCGGAAATGATAGCAGTCATGAAACCAAGTCTTTTATCAGCAATACTAGCAATTCGGTTTCTTAAATAAACACAGACTTTTCCCATCCCACAGAAGTAAAATACTAGGATRTACAAAAACACAGCACCTGAGAGAGCCTGGATACCAACCACGTGAGCCAAGAGAACTGATACTACAATAACCTCGAAGATGCCTTGTATAAGAAGGACCATTTGGGAAGCCACGGGGTCAAATCGTTGAACATCTCCTGACACTAGATTGATAATGTACCCTGTTGTGCTATTCGCGATGGTYGTCTGGCTCAGGTGAAAAACCTTTGAAATGAGAGAGAAAAAGAAGGGATTTTAAAAACTTGTTTTGAAATATGTTATTGTCATCACCTTCCTTTGAATTCTGAATAGGACTTTATACTTTATAGTTCCCTACGGTTCATATTCAATACTCTTAGTTCCTTGCGGTTGATATTCAGTACCCATAGTTCCCTGCGGTTGATATTCAGTACCCATAGTTTTCACTTTCAATCCGGCAACACCTGCTTGATATTTCTGGGACCGATCACTACTATACCGCCATAGCGAAGGTTTTTAGTGAGAGAGAAAAGATTCGAGGCTTTATGTAAAACATTGTCTAATGCTCTACTATTTTTTATATTTTATGTTCTACTATATTTATTTACCCGTCGACCGTGGAAAAAAAGTATTTTGCGCTAGTTAATAAAGACGAAAACAATGAATGTAAAGTGTACTGCTAACATGCAGACGCGAAAAAAATAATAATTTTGAAAAACAAATGAAACGCAGAACCTACGTTTGCGCCAATTGGACTTCCTCATTTTACCGCTCACATGATTCATGACTAAAACCATCCATCATACTGTTAAATATCAGCCTTATTATTATTTCACGGTTCATACCTTGTTAAACATGAGTCCCATGGTCGACGTTCTCCATCTCATAGCAATGAGCCACGCCTTGTACAAGAACTGGTGCAGTAGAATGACGCGAATTAGGGAACAGATGCACAGCGCTGCACCATACACATATAAATTCTCTCTGTCGTACCCTGGAAGCTTGAGCAGTATGGATAATATCATTCCAAGAAACACAGTCTGGGACATATTACATATGGCCGCCAGAAAGCCTAGACTTAGTAACAACACATATTGCGATGGAGCAACTGTGCGAAACAGGGACAGCAACAAGCGATAGCATTTACGACGATGTTTTAAACCTTGATTCCATGTGTTTCTTAGACTGTCTGTTACCACTCTCGTTTTGTCTGTGAAAAGAACTTGAAAAAGGTCGTCATTTTCTATTTGTCTTTTGCTGCCGAGCTGAAGAATGCTGTTCATCCACCAGAAAGAAATGATGGATAAAAAGTTGGCTGATTGTACTGGATTTTCTTTGTCGATCTTTAAGCGTTCGTATTTTATTCTTGAATGCATCTTGCAGGTCTGCATGAATTAATCGATGGTATGCTGTCAGTATCATGAGAATCCATACCGTTATTATAAAAGGTTGTAACCATTTATTTATTTAGTAATAAGAACAATGACGCCATGTTTCGACATTCCTGTCATTATCAAGAGTGGATTTTTARATCTGAAATAGCGCTAATGAAATAAAAGCATTTAATTGCAATGATCRAGTGCTATGAAGCAACAATTTCGAAATATTTTGTCATTTATTTTACTTGCATACAAGCAAAGTGTAAAAACCCAGTCTTGATAATCGACCACCAGGTGCTTTCTTATTAAATGGCTAAAAGTCAAATGTTTGGCAATTAGAGATAATGGTACTCTGAGATTGGAMCCCCTTTTTCCTATGACCCGGACAGAAAATATAAAATKTAAGAAATAACTCGGAAAAACAGGGGGGAAAATGTAAAGAAATAGGATAATTTAAGCCACCAAGGAAGGAACGCAGCAAAGTGTTAAGAATTAAAGCTTTTTGTCTCCATTAAACTGAAGAAATTGAACAGCCAGTCGTCTCAGCCTTGTCGACTATTAGTAAATATTCATTTTATTCATTTCRGGAAAACATCAGTGGCCTCTCTGGTCTCTGTTGCCTCTCTAAATATCTGATATTTAATTTGGGGCTAATTTTGTCTTTCGTTAATAAAAAAAAATATGCGGCCATTCAGGACAAAGGTGTATTCTATAAACACATTAACAATTCTGATTTTCATCTATTTCTCTTGTTTCGTTTTAAATTAAACCCTTGCCCCCTCTTGAATGATCTTAGCTGCCAAATTGAAATGAAATGTTTTTTTCTGTGCTTCACTGGCTATACAATAAAAGACAATTGAAATCCCATCAACTAAGTCCAAGTGTTTGGCGTCGGTTTTTTGTACGTAGGTAGTGAACCGTTCACACCAATCTCTTGTTCGGGTCTCGACAGTGTTCAGATTGTATACTGAATCACTCGATTTATCGTGTCACGGAAAGATTAGCCGCCATAGCGGGTAAAATTATGAAGACGATATTTTAATACATTAAAGCTACTTCGATGATAACTGAAATTTGCGATTATCTGAACGTTTTTCTGCGTCGAAATACTGAGTTAGTTGTCCATAAAAATGTTTCGCCAAAGCAATTAAACAAACAAACAATCTGAAGGAAAAAAACAGGAAAACTAGCAAMGACAAAACGACAGTGAAAATAAGTTAGGCCGAAATCCACGAAGTTATTTAATGGATAAGTAAAAGAGCTACAAAAACGGAATCGAAAAGGCGAAAAGAACCAAAGAATCTATAGATGAAAGAAAGTCATACATTTATGTTGAGATTTACATAAACTAGGAAATGAAAAAACAACAACAACAACACAAAACAAACAAATAAAAAAAGAATAAAACAACGAACAGGTCAATCTTGTTGAACTTCGAATTTGCGTTTCAAGTGTAGGAGTATCCACTCGCCTGAAATTTTTTAAACTTTTAAAGTACTGAATTGCGCCCAAGGGAATTTGATTTGCTATGTCTTGATAACAATACATATACAGACGCTTAATGTCGTATGGAATATGWCTTATTTTCCGTTTGTAACTAGCCAGTCTTACAGCTCAGAGAAAAAAAAAWKRAAAMMMCMRG